ATTTACTCGACGTTCTTACGATGAAGGAAATAGTGATGAAACCCGCAGTGCAGCGTTGTTGACTATGGCCTGGTCACCCTTAGGGTAGGCTCCGAACTCTTCAGTGAGGACGTATAGTGAGCTGGTGATGATGATGATGATAATTACAGAAAGAAACATGGCATATAATCGGTGTACAACTGCCGATCTGTGACGATGAGAGTCCGCGCAGTAACGCGCTAAGTGACGCAGTAGCTGCTGGCTACGTGGCGCAGCTGACGACGCTAGCAGCTGCTGTGCTCGGGCAGCCGCTGCGCTATAAGATCATACTGCTGGGCTCCGCTAGTAAAATACTAGATATCATGCCTGATCTACCAGATCCTAAGTAAGTTGATGGTTTTTGCGAGTTTTTATGTATGTATGTTCTAATTGACTAAACCTATATAAATAAGTGAGGTGTCATTCGATTCGTCTTTTTATTCTGACTGTCATAGGGTATATTAAATAATAATAAGATATCTACAGTGGACGTGAAAATTAAAATTCTAAATAAAACTTATCAGAGTTCGAATCTCACTTGCTATATTTATTTCGTTTTGGATGTTTGTGAACGTATTTTAAAATGAAATTATGTAACCTACATTGTTTTAATTATTTGTTTTAAAATTCTACAATAGATGGCGCTTTCTCTTATTGAATCCGTAGTCAGTCGGTTATTTTGGATTACATCTAACTTTGTATTTAATTTTCTAACAGCAATAACATAGAGATTAAATAAACAGAATGTGAAACGTGCACGTGTTATTTCATTTTAAATTATTTTAATATAATTGTATGTAGTTTTTAATTCTTCTCAATGATTTTTCCAGTATCCCGTTGTTTGCTAGAGGCGGTGACGTCACGTTATTCCGCTACGGCATGTTCTTGCTGAACAAGTGCATAGCTCAGCTGTTGTGGGGCAGAGGCCTGTCAGTCACCGACATGAGGCCGACACTCAGCAACCTGCAGCGATTGCTGATCACACCGAGTAATCTGTAAGTTGACTGACTTAAGTGACGTGACTGATTTGACTGACGTGACTGATTTGACTGACCAGACTGACGTGACTGACTTGAACGACGTGACCGACTTGACTGACTTGACAGAGGCGACTGACTTTACTGAGCTGACTTGACTAACCTTATCTATTAACTAAGCGCGGTTTTATTAGTCGTTAGCACCCGCATGTGTTTGTCGTTATTCCTTACTTATCCATACCGTACATTATATTTGTTAAATTTCCGCAAGACGCTTGCATTCTCTGTTTACATTAGTCGTTAGCCCGCATGCGGGGACTCCCCGCAAGATATATTAACAAAAGAAATTACGTCTTAACTATTATGAACGAATACTTAACCCAATTAACTGACTTGGCTGACTATTTGACTGACCTTATTGACCTTTTGTACCGACTTTAAATTTTTTTATAAGATTATTGCTTTTGAAGAAATTGATGATTGAAGTACAAAAAATAAGTTTTATAATATGAATGTTACAGATCGGACACATCTAAGTTATTCGGTACATATCGCTGGTTGGCGGACAGCGAGTGTCCTCGGACGCAGTCATTAAGGAGTCTGGTCGCCTCAGAAAGAGGGAAATATCGACCTTTCAATCGTTTCAAGGTCAGTTGTCTATTTGTGTGATTTTATGTTTTTAAGACTTGGTTTTTGAAATAAATTTGAAAACTAACCTCTTTATGGAAAACTAACTATTCCCGTTTGCATTCATACGCATGTAAAATTATTATTTTATTGTTTATGCAAATGTGAAAATTATGTCCAAACTAGCTTTCGCCCGCGACTCCGTCCGCATAGTATAAAAACATAGGTTCAGCCGTTTAGGCTACAAACTCTAACTAACATCCTTCCATCCATCTAAACGTTTGCATTTTTAATATTAGTTACATAGATGACAATGAAGGTCTTTTCCATTAGCTAACAATTACTGTTACCAGCAATATTTGCTGCTATTGGCTTCTAGTTTTTGTCCCTTCGCGCACAAAACAAAGGATGTATGTAAAAGATAGGAAATAATCTCTATGTTAGAATTTTTATGAACAATCTGGTCACTTTGTGGCTATGTTCTCTCTCTCTCTCTCTATCGCATTTGATCTCTCTCTCTCTATCGCATTTGATCTCTCTCTCCGTCTCCCTTTGATATATATCTCTTTCCGTCCCTCTTTGAACACTCTTTCTCCGTTTCTATTTTTTTATTTGTATACATAAGGTGGCAAACAAGTTAGTGGCCATCAGAATCCGCCAAAATCGCGAAGCGCCCGCTGCCCACAGACATCCGCAATTGCAGATGCGTTGCCTACCCTTATACAACGAAGGAGGAGACGCACATAAAGAGAATATGCATCTCCTTTCCTATGCATCTCCTTTCCTATGCATCTCCTCTACCGTCAAATCCACTTCCCCTTCTTAACCTCTCCTAATAAGAAAAGGGTGGTAAAGAGAAAGGGACTTAAATTAGGCCTCCGGCACCACACTCATCAGACGAAACAGGGAATTACTCCCACTTCACGCCTGTTTTCTGTGTGGT